GCTCGAACCGGCTAAATTTAAAATCCAAGATTTTCAAAAAAAAGAAATCCTTATAATTTTCAATTTGCTCCCACAATTAAAATTTTGTGAAATGTGCCCCATTATCTCTACAATCCTAGCTCCGTCCTTGTATACAACTAATTAGATCGGACCCGGTCTAAATCGAATTGGACCATAGGGGTAACTTTCATGTGCAAAACTCTAATTACTACTCGCTTTGGTCTGGTCCTTGTCAACACCAACTCAAATTGGACCAGCGAGGTTAGTCTCAACTATAAATTCATATTACTACTCGATTTTGTCCAATTTTTGTAAGAATTGAATAGGACCATACTTTGCCTTAGACAAATTGGGGTTTAACACGCTAATTTATCCACAAATTTTTTCTTCGGGCTAAATACTCCGTTTACATATTGACTTGAATATCAAAGTGTTTGTTCGTGAAGACAACGCTTTTTCTTACTAGTCACCCATCCAAAAAGTTCAGACAACAATATATGCCTCTTTAATCTTGATAGCTGCTCAATTTTTATTATTTTTTTCTTTTTCCTGTGTGTATAAATATTTAGTAGAAATACTTGATTATCATGTGCCAAAGGGAACACATTTGTTGGGAATTCTGATCTTATTCCATTAAGATCCATCCGTTTAGAAAGAAATATTGAAGATAAGGTAGTGTTGGCACTTTCAACAGTATGGAGATTGTAATGTCAACTCTTCCAAGTTGCCTAGCTTAGATATCTCAAATATGTAAAAATAAATAAATAATTTGGTGCATTCAAACAGGTTAAGAATGACAACTGGGTGAGAAATGTCATAGCAATCCTCCCAGTACCCCACCTGTTGGGGATTTCCAAGAGGCAGGACGGAGCGGGGTATAGTGGGGGTAGAGTATATTTACCATCCCTGAAACAGGTGGAGAATAGTAACAGGCAGAAGACCACTACTTTACCTAACAATTTGAAAGGAACCCCCACCAAAAAAAAAACAAAAACAAAAACAAAAAGTAAAAGACAAAGTGGGTAGACAAATAGAAAGAATTTGACTTCAAAAATGGGTACTCCATAGCCAATAGACAACACCATAATAAGGATACGATAAAAGAAAAGACTTGTACTTATAAAACCAGCTGTCACAATTATATAAATTTTGTTAATTATTAGAGATTAATGAATAATGATACTGTGGACAACGAATACCATGGACGACTTTTAAATTGTGATTAGATAATAATAGACAAAATATTGCACATAATTATCTTTCTTAATACTTTTCATAAATGTATTTCGTAGATCTATGAATTTGAGGTCATACCTAAAGAAGTTAACATATTAGGAGAAATAATGAAATTTTCACATAAAATTCAAGACCATTTTTCATGCTTGATCGGTGTGGAACTTGCATATATATCTTTCAACAATCCTCTACCTAGAACGAAGTATCATATTATTTAGATGTCCTCGAGCGATGATCTATCTCTCAATCTTCCATAAATTAGGAATATCATATGTTCTATCAAGACCCAACTTTTCACCACTCAGTAACTAAGTACACATGAATGCACACACCATAAAAACTCACCATCCTGAAATCTCACAATTAATTGAGACCCACATCCTCACTTGAATCTTTGTTTTTTTTTTTTAGGGAACAAGCAAATTTCATTAATCATTCATATGAGAAACATCATAGTTCACCAGATTAACAATGGACTCTGGTACCTCTTCACAACACATAAATCAAGCCTAGAATTTTTCGCTAGTAGCGCTAATTCATGAGCCACCTGATTGGTCCGTCTTGGAGCCTGTTGAATAAGACAGTTTCCCATTCAAGCCATGAGAAGTCTGCAGTCCTCAGCTACATTCAGCACAGGAGAGAACAGAAAATGAAGGTTGATGATTTGGACCGAGAGCAGGGAATCCGTTTCTGCAATGTGAACCCGTAACCCAATTTCTGCTGCAAATTTCAGTCCCTCTTTGATGGCTAACATTTCCGCTGTGAGTGAAGAATAATTTCCATTTACAACTTTGCCCAGCGATCCCACTACCTTCCCACGATGATTACGGATTACAGCCCCAATGGATATCACCCCTTCCTCGTTGTTCACTACTGCATCAGTATTGAGAATAAGTTCATCCGTCGGTGGGGTTTTTCAAAACCTTCTACGAGAAACTCCAGGCTGGATTGCAATTTCCCGATTTGGCACCTTAAGAGATAGCTGTGTGGCCTGAAAGTCTGCCAAATATTCTTCCAATTTTTCACATTGACGTTGCATTGGAGGGATACTTCTACCGTGATACAAAGCATTCCAATCACTCCAAATTTGCCATGCCGTCATACATAGTTTCTCAAACTCATTCATTTTCGGCTTATGATATGCAAATAGTGTGAATTTCGAAAATTGTGAGCCCTGGAAATCATGAATCAATTTTCCCATACCAACTTGGCTCCACATGGCATACGCTCGATCACATCGAATTAAAGTATGGAAGGTAGTTTCATAGTCCAGATGACATATATCACAAATCGTGGAAAGAGGCATATGGCGGCGTGATAAGTTGATAAAGGTAGGAATAATATCGTTAAAAGCTCGATACATGAATGCCCTGACTTTTGATGGGATATTCAATACCCATAAATATTTCCACCATTTAGCATCATAATCGTAGCTACTACTCACCTCCAACACAGGATTCTTTATTGAAAATGCCAACCAGTATCCAGATTTAACACAATATTCACCATGCTTGGAGTGTCTCCATATTGATGGTCAGGGGTCGAGAATTTTCCAAGAGGGATACTTTGGATAGCCTCCCCGTCTACCGGGTTGAAGAACTCTTCTAATAAGCTTAGGTTCCACTTCCTTTCAATTATAAGGTTAGAGACCGTATGGATCTGTGGCACTGCCTGGGATATGGACTTGAAAGATACTACCTTGGGGATCCACGGGTCATGGAAAGCGGAGATGGACAACCCATTGCCCACCCTCCAGATAACTCCCTTCAATAGAAGTTCACGCCCCCACATAAAGCTAGTCCATAGGAACGACCGGTGTCTTCGAACATGTTCTGATAACAGGTGCTCATTATAGTAACACTTGCATTTAAAGACCCAACTTACCAATGAGTTAGGATTCTGAAGAATGCGCCAGACTTGTTTTGCCAAAAGTGCTTGATTAAAACATTCAAGGTCTCTGAAACTCATCCCACCATTTGCCTTATTTTGCATGCATGAGACCATTTATGCCAATGTAATCTTCGTTTCGTATATGATCCACCCCACCAAAATGACGCCATCATTTTCTGGACCCCTTCCATACAAGATGCAGGAACTTTAAATATACCCATAACATAGGTTGGAATGGCTTGGATCACCGCTTTAAAAAGTACTTCCCGATCGCTATAGGAGAGCTGGTTATGCTTCCAAGTTTGCACTTTCTTCCACACCCATCTTTTAGGAACTGAAAAATTTTAGCTTTCCTTTGTCCAATAAGAGATGGCAATCCCAGGTATTTGTCATGTGGTCTGGCTATTTCCAACCGAAAAAGCTCAAGAGTACTATGCTTTTGATGATCAGGGACATTCGAGCTAAAAGTGATATCAGACTTCATCAGATTTATTTTTTGTCCCGAAGCCATTTCATATGAATGTAGCAGGTTCAGTATATGCTGACTATCATGAGTGTTGGCTCTACAACAAACCAGAGAATCATCAGCAAAAAATAAGTGGCTAATTCGAGGACCATACCTTGAGCATGCGACTCCTTTAATATCACCCATAAGTACTGCTTTGGAAATTAAGCAGGATAACCCTTCAACACATAGCAAAAAAAGATAGGGAGACAGAGGGCACCCCTATCGCAAGCCCCTGCTTGGACGCACAAATCACCTAGATTCTCCATTAATCATGAAAGAGAAGGTAGCAGACATTACGCATCTCATGATCAACCCCACCCAATCTTTATTAAAGCCCATTTTTAGCATTATGACAAAAAGCAAACCCCACTCGACTCTATCATAAGCTTTTGACATATCCAATTTCATCGCCATCATACCATTACGCCCTTTGGTTCCGTGGGAGATGGAGTGCATAATCCCGAAATCAACAATCACATTATCAGTAATAAGTTTTCCCAAGACGAAAGCACTTTGATTATTAGAAATCACATCTCCTAAAATGATCGTCAACCGATTCGCAATGGTTTTTGTAATGACTTTATATATCACATTGCATAGGCTAATAGGCTTGAACTCCTGTATATTGGTCGGATTTTGGATTTTCGGAATAAAAACTACATTTGTATGATTCAATTTTTCTATCGATTTTCCTCCATTCAAAACCGCGAGATAAACCTTCACCATATCCCAGACCTTCTGATAGAAAATTGCATGAAAACCATCAGGCCCGGGTGCCTTGTAATGGCCTATCATAAAGAGGGCATCTCGCACCTCTTTGTTAGTAAAAGCTTTCCCAAGTATTCCATTCATTTGATATGAGACTACTGGGTTCACAGATTGGGTAACATACTCGATGTCATCGGGGGATGGTTGGGAAGACTGGAATAAAATATTAAAGTAGTTCATCACCACATCTCCAATACCTTCATTATCAGTTCTCCAGTTGCCATTGTCATCAAATAAGCCATGCATAGTGTTATTAACCTTCCGGGCTGATGCTTTCCTGTGGAAGAACTTTGAATTACGGTAGCCGTGATGTAACCAATCCATGCGGGATCTTTGTTTCCAATAAAGTTTCTTCTTATTTAACAAGAGTTCCAATTCATTATCCATTACCCAAGTCTTCTCAAAAGTCTTCACCGAAAAGTTTTCCTCCTTGAGTCGTTTCAACTTTAAGCGGATCGTCTTAATTTTAGCCAGGAGCTCCTAATATTTCCACCCCACTGGACGAGCATGTCCATACAGGTCGTTGTTTTGCCAACAAAATTGTCAATGCAGTTACTGCAAACAATTCTTCCATTATTGTCACTTTCATCTCTAGTCCCATACATGATTACTGATTCCCACAGTCCTTCAATTACAACACTGACCACATGAGAATTGCATCCGACACTCCATCCTTCATGTATAACGTCTATGCAACCCGTCTCACATAGCCAAAGTGGCTCAAATTTGAATTGTCAATGCTTCCTCCACATTGGAGTTCCCCCAATATTTCGATGTATGAAGAGTTCAATGGCACGGTGATCTGAACTATAAAAGTCGAGATGTGAAACCAGAGCCGTGGGAAACATGTTACGCCAATCGAAGGTGGCCAGGGCCCTGTCAAGTCTTACAAGAATATTATTGTCTGCACGAGAGTGTTTAGCCCACGTGAATTTCGGACCCGAGAAGCCAAGATCACTCAATTCACATTCTTGTACCATCTCCTTAAAACCCTCCATAGAAAATCTGGTGCGGTCACTACCTTTCCATTTCTCGTTAGTCATCAAAATTTCATTAAAATCGCCTATGCATACAGTCGGATGAGCACAACCCCCCACCAATCTTCGTAATAGTGTCCAAGAGTTGTGGAGTTCCTAAGCAACGGATCTCCATAGAAATTAATGAGGTTCTATTTTTGTCCATGTTTGTGAGAAACAACAAATGGAGATGGAATTTCGAGAAGGATAGAAGTTGGACCTCCCACTCCTCTTGCCACATCAACATTAAACCACCACTGTTGCCCACACTATCTATACTTATTCTACCATTGAAACCAAGTCTGATGTGAAAATCCCGAGTTCTATACCCTTCTAGTCGAGTCTCTAGGAGGAAGAGGTGAGAGGGCTTCTTATCCCGGACAAGTCACCTCAAATTTACGAATTCTTAAGGACTCCCTAAACCTCGAGCATTCCACCATAGAAGACTTATTGTTCCTGGTGGGGCTGATCTTCAGCCACCACCGTTACATCAATCGATTTCATCCCCAATACTTCAACTTTAAACCTCTTGCCTGTTGCAATGCCTACCCCGTCGTCAGCTAATTTTCGCTTTGTTGGGCTGGTTTTAGATTTACTAGGTAAATCAATTCTCTCCTAGCATTTCATTTCCATTTCTTCTTATGCATATTCGGGCTCATTTTTCCTGCATCTAGAATAGCCTTGTCTTTCGCCATCAGGCCATGGTCTCCAGTGCTTTTCCCATCAAGGTCAATGTTTGAACAAACTTGAGTAGGATCTATTCACTTCATATGATCTCCATTATAACCTAACTCTTACTTTTTACCCGTCTTCCAGCTTGATTTTGTGGTATTTATGTCTTCTTCTAAGTTAAAATCCGCGTCAACATTAATACCAATATCGGGATTTACCACAGAATTCCCAGTCGAAACAAGAGTCTTGGATCCAATAGCGATAAATGATTTGGTTGAGTTAGGAATTTATGTCAGTGATGTTTGCGTCATTTTATATTGTGCTAAATTCAGTTGCTCCTCACCGCCTCCAACAGCTGACAATTCCTCTGAATTAGATTTCTCCGCTTTTTCAGAACATTTTTCATTATTATTATCACTACCAGGATTTTTGGCCTTGTTTCTTCCAGTGCCATCCTCTCTCCGTTTATCTCTCCATTATCCGTTTGTGGCTCGCACTCGGTGGCCAAAAGGATGGTTCTCCTGACATTTTAATACTGGAGGGACCTCCATATTGCAGTATTTAAATCCATGGTCGACATGTCCGCACAACGTACAATATTTCGGTAATCTTTCGTATTTAAATTCAACCTCCACCATATCCCAATGGATCTTAATTACAGGTCCATCGTTGCGACCAAAGGTTTAGATACATTCAACTTAACCCTAATCCACATGTGTGAGCCCCAACATGATCCACTCAAATCCGTATCCATTTCTAAGAATATTCCCAAATGTGAGCCAATAACCTCAGCAATTTCTCTGTTCAGAAAGATAAAAGGAAGATTATGCACTTGAATCCAAAAAGCAGAATGAAAAGGATGAACATTGGGAGCCGATGTTTCGTCTATTTCTTGAAGTACAATTAACCTCCATTCAAAATACCAGGGTTCACCTCTTATGACCTTATTTCTATCCGCCTCGCTTTCAAATTCACAGAAAAATTTATCTCGATTTGTAAACTGGATCTTGATCATACCTGTTTTTCCTCATAATGCCTGCATAACAGTTTTAAAAGCTTTCCGTTTGAGAGATCTGTCACCAAGAACCCTCCCAACAATGCCGTGCTTTAGGAAACTCCAACTGTGCTACACCAAAGTATCCGATACTCCCACAACTTTTCCAGCCGACCCAATTAAATTAAACTGCCGTAGTCATGTCTGGATGTCCTCCATGAAGTATTCTCCCTATCTGCACGTGTAGGTCATAGGAAGAAAACCTACAGAAGAAAAACTTACGAGAAGAAAACAAGCCCCCCAGCCCCGAAGATTCGCTGAGAGTAAGGGAGGAGGCGGCCACCGGTAAAGATGAACCGCACACAGTGGGCATCCTTAACCCTAGAGGAGTCAAGCCGCAAACTATTGTCCACTTGAATCTTTATTACATGATTAAAAATTCAATATTTCCATTGGTGTGGCTAAATTTGAGGCATGACTTATCTCTTACATGGTCTAAGAGTTTGATCTCAAAGAATAACGCAATGAGTAATCTATCTCGACTGTTGGATGGAGACTTAATTAATAAATTGATATGAGATTTAAATGTAAGGGTATGAGTCTTATTTAACGTGACATATTAATTAATGTCACATAAATAAATAGCATCACTCGATCTCAAAATATTTATCTGTTAAGAGACAATCTATATGTTTAATCAATATTGAACTTTTGTTAGTTACATTAAATATAACGAGAAAGTTTAGCCATTTAAATTACTCAATCTTTTTGCATCTAGGAAAAACGTGGCATGAAAAAAGGATAAGTGGGAGAAAGCAACATTTTAAAGTTCTAGACAAGACAATTGATTCAATTTAAGTTTCTTGGATTTGTTTAATTAATTTTACTTAACATCTTTCTAAGTATAAAAAATAGTAAGAAATATATAGCTAACTAAAATATTTGTTGCATTTTGGTACATAGTATTAGACATAATAGATAGTATAATTATGAATTTTTTTAATAATATTTTCAAGACTACTCGATCCAATTTACCGAATGCAGGATTGAGAAATAAAATTTATTGGCGTGACACAGAGATGTGTCGATTGTTCAAAAATTAAGAATGAAACTATAAAGTGACGTGTCTATACAATTTCTTGTATGTAATTTTTGAATGCAATATATCTACTAATAGATGAATATTTTGTCATCGGTACTTAATATAAACTATGATTTATGGTTCAATATATAATTTATATTTTGGGTTCTATTTGACCAAATGTGTGAAGGAACAAAACTTATTGCAAACAACGTTAATGATGGAGATTTAGGTTCATAAATGATTCTCTCTTTAATTGTTCGTGAATACTTAATGTATTTTGTTAGGAAAATTGTTGTCAAACGATCTCTCTGGATGATGATGTAAGTATTGCATTTATTCATTCAGCTTGACCAAATGACTGAATATGTTTCGACACCACAGTTGGCTAAACTTATCATGTAATCCACTCGAGCAATTTGAAGTAGCCTAATCATATTAGTGCTGCTCATGACCCAACTCAAATGACTTGGATGGCTTTAATGGGTTAGCCCACTTATCTCTTTTTATATTGGGCCTATCATTTGACCTAAAAGCCCTCACCTAAGCCTAACCTATTTAACCCCTTGTCCATTACTGTTGGTTTGTGTGTGAAAGTGATTATAGCCATGTGTTTTTTTGAGAAAACAGATTCATCCCTCTTTTAGCTTTGTGATCTTGATAGGCAATTTGTTCTTCTTCCTTTTCCTTTGTGGTTTAAATATTTTAGGCCTTAATCTCTTTCACCTTTCAGCTCTTTGTGGGCTATAAAACTTGGAGCAACCGGTTTGAAATTAGGGAAGGTGACGATTTGTGATTGGTTTGGTAATTGTGGTGTTCGATCAATACTGAACCCGGATCTTGGTGCAACTTGGAATTCATTTCCTTACATATGGTATCATAGCACTGGAAGAAGAAATTATCTCGCGAGTTCCCTAAAAATCCAAACCAAACTTCTTCGATTCCGACCAAAATATTCACCTGTCGAAAATATTGAAGCTAGACCCATAGCTTGGAGACTGAGGTGCACCTAGGGGTAGCGCGCGTAGGTTCCGAGACAGCGCGTGGAGGCTGATTTCGGCGAGCTCTCTTCAGGCAGTTTGTTATTTTAATTTCTTGAACATACTGATATTATTGTTTTAGTGTTTCAGGAAAATTGGACGATTCTGCCATTGGTGGGTTCGACTGTCGAAACTGCAAAATATTTACTGAATTACTTTAGGCCATAAATTGCAGCCCTAAAGCAGTAAATTTGCATCTCTCGAAATTTACAGACTCAGACAGGTCCGCTCTGGTAAATTGGCTAATCCTCTTTAAATTTCAGCACTAGCGTGTCATCGTGTGGGGTGACAATAAGATTGAAGTTACTGTGTGGAGTAACCATTGCCTGTACTAGAAATTAGGAACTACTTGCTCTTCGTTAATACGTGTTTGAAATTTGTTCATTTGATAAATTTGCAGCATATTATCGTTTGTGATATATCGTGAGTGAAATTGTTTTAGTTGACATATCTCTTGTTACATTGTTAAGTTATTAGAATACCTAGACCTTACCTGTTTGAAAATTTCCTTGATCTAAGATCGTGAATCTTACGAAACCCTGGGAATCTAAAATAGTGTATACTTGTGAACCTATATCTACTAT